GGGGTGCAACTATAATACCACCTACCTCTTCCCTTTATGAGAGGGAGGTATAATTTTATATAATTAAATCTTCAGAACGGACACTTGAGTGATTCAAATTTAACCGAATCGTTATTAGTAGCATCAAGTAGTTATAATCCGGACTTGAAGAAACAGGCTCTATCCATGGTGGCTCAAAATTCCCATTAATTTTTTTCGCATAGAGAAATGGGGAGCACAGTGAGACATTTATCATATACTTGAATTTTCAATAGCTCGGTTTAATGCAAAATATTATTTTTCATCTCGACTTTTTCCCCATTTCTCCAGTGTCTTTCCTATTATCCTTCCCTCCCAATCTCCTTTCCCTTCCTGATGGAAGATGCCTACCACCTTCCCGTAGTTTCCATTGAGCAGCACGAAAAATGCTGGCCAAGAGTAGGGAAAAAATTTATTCCATTAAATTTATCCTTGTTCAATTTTGTCTGAAAATTATTAAAAAGCTTGGAAATGTAAAGATTTCATGTACATGGAAAATGTCTGTATGTGCCTATGTCGGCTTGTGTGTATGTATGTATTGTTTTACGGATGTACAAGAACAATTATGAGAATATATTTTCATTTCAATCGAAATATGGATGTCTATTTTATTCTTTTTTATATTGGCATTTTTTTCGGTTGCGCGCACTGTATATTTTTTTTCTTAGCGCGCCAATAGTTAGAGACCCTGCTGCTTGATGCGTTCCGTGCGCAGAGACATGACACCCCCCACTCAGACCCTATGCAGATCCTCATAATTGGAGTGCAATGAAGTTTATGGCCGGTTACTCTCGACTACCTGGAGGTTGCCCATCCCTGGTATAGAGATCAATGCATGGGTTTAGTTGTCGAGTATCACCGAACGCCTCACGGAACCACTCGATATGAGCGAACCACACGACTTTACTGGCGCCACAAGAAAATCTCACTCGCTCCTCGTCCGAGCTCAATAAACAGTAGATTATGTCATCAGGCAATAAAAGTATTATCTGGCGAATGTGGCTTTATAATTCGAGCCGAAGGCGAGGATTATACTCACATTCGTCAGATAATACTTTTATCGCCGTGTGACATACGATATTTTATGTCATTGGGCCCAAAAACCGCGATCGAACCGAGCGAAGTGGTAAAGCTCGGTTCGATCGCGGTTTATCGGGCCTAATGACAAATATTTTTTTATAATTTATTGAAACATGCTAGACGGTTTTTATTGACCCCAGAGGAAAGAGGGATAGAGGCAATCAAAAAGTTTCAGTCCCAAATCTCAATTTTCTGACTATGTTCCCTCTACTCTGAAAATTTTTGCAAGAGAAAGTCATATAGCGCGAGTGCTGACGGGTTAAAAACAATTAAATCTCAGGGGAATTTTCTGAGCACCCCAGTATTTTCTATTTTCGGCAGAAGTTTTATTTTTGAGTTTCCATGGACAAACGGACTAGATTGACTAGACTACTATTTCAACCCGATGAAATTGCTACTGAGGTAATATGGGATGGAAGTGAACGTGAGAGTGATCATTTATTTGTATTTTACGAAAGAGTGTCAAATGACTGACCAAAACCATCTGTAATAGGGGGACGGTGATGAGTAGCAAACTGATGAGTAACTGGGGTAGAAGAACATTGTCATAAATGTTTTTGAATAGCTGAGAAATCCTGAAAGAAGATTGAGTAAAACACTTGAGTTCCACATTCTCATAAAATGTTTATGAGTAAAATTACCTTAAAATTTGTTGATGGAGTTTGATACAATTAATAAGCTGTTCATTTGGATTCAGAGATAATGATTCATCACTGATTTTCCTTTCAACATATTCAAAATGAACGACATCTGAATCCTCATTATTTTCGGCATCATCACGAATTTTACACGTTGTCATGTGACATCGTTCCAACCGAAAATTCAGTATCTTAAATTGGCCCTTGACATTTATCATGACGGACATAATGAAAGCATTGTGAATAACGGCAATTAGGCCAAGAACAACGAAATATATGTAGTCTATAACAAAAGCTACCCAGAAATTCGTAAGTATTAAGGAATATTTCATCGGTGCAACTCTAAAAATTGGAAGACACGAGTTGAATGCATTTCGTGAATGAACAGAATCCAAGAGTTGAAAATTATTCCCACTTCATAATCAGCTTCACAGAAAATAGCGTAGTATGAAAATATGAAGTATGGGATTACAGCGAAGCCAATGGACATGGTGAATGTTTTGGACGTTCTCAATCCGTTTGCGAGCACTCTGTTTCGATAGTGTGCTGGAAAAAAATAATAAAAATTATAATTCAATTCGGTGGCGTGTCTTTTCAAATAGGCAACCTTTCAACTACGATGTTCTAAGTACAACATGTCAACTAACTGTATTTAGACTACTACAGTTGTAATAATTAGCAGAAATTTTTTCGTTCTTTTTTTTCTTGTTGCAGTGTAATAAATAAACCTAGCCTAATCAATGCAACAACTACTCATTTTTTCCGAAAACCCTTTGTAAAAGACTCCTAATTCAGTAGCGAAGTGGTAGTACGGTACAAGTCAATTTTGACTGTTCACCAGTTTTCAATGAATATCTCGGAATCTGAGGAGGATAGCAAAATTTTTGTTATAACCTTATTTGTAGAGCCGATTGAGAGGTACAACAAATGTAATTACGAAAATTTCGCTATCTCCCTTAGAATCCCAAATATTCCTCAAATACTCAACTGGGATAAGTCGACTTAAAGCGTTTTACCACTTCGCTACTGAATTCAATAATAACTCAGTACTAATGATTTGTTATCATTTCGTATGGTTTATTCCTTCTGTATGAATTTTTAAACTCCAATATTTTGATCGTTGATGTTTTAAAAAAATTTGAGATAGATTCTCCGAAATGTCACCCAGTTGAAGAGACATGCATATACTCAGTAACATTCTCACTAATTTCTTCAGTGCCAGGTAAGTATCTTTCCCAATTGAATGATCCAGCCAATTTCCACACTTCGACTCGATGAGATAAGAAGGCAATATATATGATGATATTAGCGGTTATCACACAGAACAACGAAAATTGTTGAAGGAATTGTAGTGAATTCTCGGCATTTATCAGTAGCACGATTGTGTTCATCAGTCTCATAGCCATTATTACATTGACTACATATGCCCAATAAGCTTGATAAATCCAGTACTTGAGTCCCTTTTTGTAGGGGTTCCATACGCCTAGATCATCATTAATATTCATTGGACATCTGACAATGGAATTCAGGTGCTGTGAAATAGTTCAAGTCATCATATGACATCAGATTAATTACAGAATCATCTTGTGGATAAATTGTTTAGGAAAATCGTCAGAGGACAGTTTCTGGAAACCACTTCTTTCATTCTTCCATTCAGAGATCACTCCATAATGAAGAAATATTTAATGTCTAATTTGAACCATTTCCGTATTATGCAGCGAAATGCAAGAATTAATGAATTCGTTGAATTATTTTTACCGAGAAAGCTCAAACACTTCAAGCTGAAGTGCAAATAACTTTTGTCTATCGGAAAAATATTATTCTTTTCCATGTCGAATGTCGGAGCGATCCTGCGTTGTCCAGATGTTCTGTAATACTGCGCCAGGAACTACAATTTATTATTCTGCATCGCGTGATTCTTTGACGAAAGCTATGCAACGTTATAAGTGAACTAATGGTTCCTCGCAATTATTTTATGAATAATACACGTCTTTGCTATGAATGAAGAATGATAGTGATGAATAATACATAGCAATGCTTCATAATGCATGTTAGCTGATGTGCTGCTCAGCACTTCGCTGTGACAAAGTTGACAGTTGGGAGCCGATGAATAATGAGTCTACAGATAATGAGTAAAGCTGGTCCATTGTTATAGCTACCATAGAAGAAGCATCAAATACAATAGGTGAGATTCACTCAATATAACTCCAATATACCTCATGTAAAGTGCCTCAACAATCCCTCAAAAGCGTCAACTTTGAACCACTCTAAACTCAGCGAATTACATTCATCAACTATGCTTTCAATTTACTAATGACATTCGGAAAATATAAATTATACTACAGTGATAAACGGATGACATATTGGAGTTGTTGAAATAATTTAAGACAGTATTAGTAGAGGATGATGAGAAATCTTTCAGCCTAAGCGACGACTAGAGTTCCAACGTGAAGTAACTCATCAAGCTGTATTTTTCAGGACCGTTGATGCTGAATATCCCTTAGTGAGAATCTGTAACGAGGAACTTTTTTCAAAATTTCAGGCATGACAAGATGAAGGAACAACTGATGAGTTTCCTACATTTTTGAAGGTCTCGGCTGACAGATCAACAAGACCACCGGCACTGACAATCAGAGGATTCTTGATGGCACCGAGAAATATTTTCACATTATTTCGAAATGTTGTGTCCCGATAATACCAGTGTGAAGCGTACAGTGAATAACTCGTTTTCTCACTCTCAACCAGAATGATGTTACCACCCCAACAGAACGCCAGTAGTTGAAGTATACAAGCGATCAAGAATACAAGGGCACCCACTGAATCACTGAGATTTCCTTGTTGACCCTGGAAAATCAAATCACGGCTTAATGACAGTAGTCACATGCCGGTGATGATTAGCTCCAGACATAGTGCGGACCAGTATCATTTGCAGAGCAGACATGGAGACCAAAAGCAAACTTATGAGCAGCTGCGGCAGAAGTGCTTTGTCGTATATTGTTCTGAACGTATTCAGCATCCTAAAGAGAAAATCAGTTCTGATTACAGGGGAATTCATCCTACTTGACCGATCTTCAAAATTCTGATCTTGCACGAGGAGAAACAAACTGTTTCAAATAATGATTATGTAATAATTGCTGTCTATTCGTTTCCATGCACACATAAATAAAAATATGAGAAATACTTGATAATATGTTGATGAAATCTGATGCAGTTGATGAGCTCGGCATTTGGATCGAGAGCCACTGATTTATCATGCATCTCCCTCTCAACGGATTCAAAATGAATCAATTTTGATTGTTCATGGTTTTTATAGTCATCAGAGAGCTCGAAAATCTCGATGTGACATTTCTCCAACCGAAAATTCAGAATTTCCAATTGCGCCGTTATGTTTATCATCAATGCCATGATAAAAGCATCGTGAGTAACAGCTATCAGTCCAAGCCAAGTAAATGTTATGTAATCGCAGATAAAGGCCACCCAGAAATTGGTCAGTATGAAGCAATACTTTAATGGAACGGTTCTAAAAAATTAAAGCTCCATTGGAATATCCTCAGGTGAGTCATTGCATGACGAATATGATTTGGGGCTTACCGTATAGGTAGCTTTTCAAGTTTATACTCGGAGTAGCCAAGAGCAGCATAGTAATAGAAACAGTAGTACAAAATGACAGCTATTACTATAGCGATGGTGAATGTTTTCGATGCGCTCAGAGAGTTCGTGAGTACTTTGTTACGAAATTGTGCTGCAATGAGATCATAAGATTAGATGATCGAACTTCCCCCAGTTAATTAACATTTGACGTGCTTATTTCTTCTGTTCCAGCCAAGTGTCTGTCCCAATTGAATGCACTGCAAAGCTCCAACACTTGCTGTCGATGAAATATGTAAGCTATGTACTTGATGGTATCAGCAGCTTCGACCGCAAGCAACGAGAACTCTTGGAGGAATTGGGTTGTGTCCTCAGCGCTGATTCCTCGGACAAGTATTGCTGTGAGTCTCATCACCATGATCACAATAATCACGTACCACTCGTAAATCTTGTAAATCCAGTGTTTGTATCCTTCTTCCCAAGGATTCCATATACCTGAATGATCATGAATGTTCTTAAACCTATTATTGCTAGGAGCCGCGATAGGCACCAGAGATAGGACAACGCCGTGGGGCGAGCCTGATACTCATAACAGATTAATTACAGAATTATTTTACCCATCACAGATAAAACGTTGAGATTGAAGTATAAATAACTCTTGTCTATCGGGAAGACATTCTCTCTCATGTTAGATTTCGTATTACTCATGTTGTCTTAGAAGACTTCACAGTACTAAGCTTACAACTTTCATTTATTATTCCGCATTGCGTGTCTCTTCGATAATATCAAAGTACCTTTAGAGAGGAAAAAGTTTTTTTTTTTCAACCTCACTCAGCTATTCAATATGAATATTCAACTGACGGAGAATGCGCATACTCCACTATGCATGGGATAAGTATTTTCAGTTCGACTCGCATGTGGGAGGTGCGCTGTGGGACCAAGAAATTATTTTCAGTCTGTGATCCGTTGACGGAAATTCTATCTGAGATCTATTGAGTGTTCAGAATTCCTCCGGGAAAATCATCCACGAGCATTGCTTCATTATTTTTTGGACAGAACATCAATTTTTATTTTTGCTGATCTGATTTTAAATACAACATATGATAGGAGTGTTGGACATATCATGATTGCTAATTGATCCTATGGAATAAGATGACTACGACTATGAATTGTAATGCGGTGGAATCCCTTAACCGCTAACATTCTGCAATACCGCTGCTCCTGAGTATCCCTTTGTAAGTAGCTGTAAAATATATTCACTCATAATCAAAAAATACTAACGCGGTGAGTAATGAATGAGTGAATAAATATTCACATTTTTGAATGTCTCAGCTGACAGATCAACAAGACCACCAGCACTGACTATCATGGGATTTCTAACAGCACCGAGAAATATTTTCATATTCTTCCGAAATGTGATGTCCATGTCGTACCAGTGTGATGCGTGCAATGAACTGCCTGTTCTGTCGCTCTCGACTAGGACGAAATTACCACCGAAACAGAATGCTAATAATTGGAGCAAGACGCAGAACAGAAAGGCCATTGCAATTATTGAATCCAAAAGATTCCCTTGTTGACCCTTGGAAAATAATTCGATAAATATTGTACGTAGAGAGCAGCAGGAAAATTGTTCAACCCATTGAATGACCTCACTCTTCGCCATTTTGTGGTAGTGCGGACTAACGCAAGACGGCGGCCCCTCTCCGGTGGAGCGATCCCGAGATGGTTAGGTCATTGAATGAGTTGGAGCAGTGCATGAAAATACCGACCAATATCATTTGTAATAGTAGCAAAGTAATTAATAACAAACTTGTGAACAGCTGGGGCAGAAGTGCTTTGTCAAAAATAGTCCCAAATAGTTTCAACATTCTAAAGAAGACGTGAATGAAATTATTGGTATGAATTAATTATCCGGTAATGATTATGTGGTCATTACCTTTTGATGTGTTGATGAAATTTTATACAATTGATGAGCTCCTCATTCGGATCAACAACTGGATTATCAACCGAAGATATTCCGGATTGTGCTTCGAAGTATTCAAATGAGGTATGGGAACTTTCGTAATACTCTTCATCATCATTGAGCACGTAAGTTGTCAAGTGACATCTTTCCAATCGATAATTGAGTATTTCCAATTGTGCAGTCATGTTTATCAGTACCGCCATTATGAGAGCATCCTCGCAGACAGCCAGCAGACCCAGCCAGGTGCATGTGAACCAATCGAAAATGAAAGCCATCCAGAAATTTGATGTTATAAAACAGTATTTAAGAGGTACGGATCTAAAAAAATGACAGCAATATGGTGGATTCTGAAAACCAAAAGAGTTCAGAACAGCCGGATACACTACCCCACAGGCAATTTTTCCACTTTGTAATCAGAATGAGTCAAAATGGAGTAGTAGTAGAATGGATAGTATTCTACGAGAGCTATCATGATCGCAATGGTGAATGTTCTAGAGGCACTCAGAGCTTTGGTAACCACTTTATTCCTGTAATGCTCTGAATAAAGTCCATAACAATTATTTTTAATTTCTTTTGTATTCAACACGAACAGTAACAATCATTAATTAATTTATGGGATTGTTTTTCGGGTTTGCGTCGAAACGTCGATGTAGCTTCATTATACGATTTTTAATCGACAATACTTACTGAATCGTTCTGCCCCGGGCAGATGCCTCTCCCAATTAAATGCCTCAGACAACTCGATCACTTCTTTCTCATGAACTACGAGAGCGATATACTTGAGTGTATCAACGAGTTCCACCGCGAGGAGCGAGAACTCATTGAGCAATGTTGCGGCATCTTCAGCTATGAGTGTTCTCACCAACAGGGTCATCAGTCTTGCTGCCATCACCACAGTAATTACATAAGTCCAATAACCCTGGTAAATCCAGTACTTGAGTCCCTTCTTGTATGGGTTCCATATGCCTAAATAATTATGAACATTCATTTGTCGTGCAACAATTTTAGGAGTTGTGTTATCCTTATTGCGCGCAATTTGGTGATTTGTTTTTTTTACCGAGTATCGTCAACCACTTGAAATTGAAGGCTAAATAACTTTTGGTCAGTGGAAAGACGTGGTTTTGTTTCACGGTAAGTTCCGTAGTAGTAGGGCTCATGTCTGATCAAGATGTTCAGTAGTATTGAGACTCCGGCTGTCATCTATTATTCTGGGTTTAGGTTCCCACTTATAGGGAGAATCGTCGATCACGCTGATAAATTTTTTATAACCCACCAATGCATGAGATATGAGTCAACTCAACTATGTACAACTGGTATTTCGAACTCGTTTCAGCTGGAGTGGGGAAACGCAGCTACTGCGGCGCAGTGATCAATCATAGATCGATGAACATCTAGTTTTTGGTTCGACACGGAGGGTGAAGTATGAGAGAAATTCTAGTGCTTGGCTTCGGAGGACATATGTGCGAGTGGAAGATCACCACAAGCATGGAAAAATCTAATGGATTTCATTGAACGTCTATTGAAAATTCTATGGGTGATTTTTTATTATTTATAAGTGCCATGAGGTTGAAACAGGAGATATTATTTTTCCCTTCGTGTCGATACAATTTTCCTTGCTCTCAGAGGTCTCACGAGCTGCTTTAGGGAATTATTTCAAGTTATTTGTCGAACATTAATTTATTTATCATAAGTCATTATTGTCATTTATTCAATTTGTCCATATTTTGTATTGTTTTTTCCAAGTGTTTTTATATTGTGGGAAAGGGTCGATTTCCAAGACCATTTTTGAGGTTCCTGTTGAATAAACCAAGAGTATTAGTCGACGTAAAACAGTGAGTAACTATTTATTAATATTCTTGCCTAATTTCCTTCTCTCTCTGTCGAATCTCTCCAGTTTTGGGTCTCCCAACTTACACTCCCTGAGCTTGCCCGGTGGCTTGGCGCAGTGGGTAAGTTCATTGCCTCACATGCGAAAGGTTCCGAGTTCAAATCCCGGCCGGGTAGAATTGTGCGATCTAACCATTTAAAGTCTTGATCATCATCACAGTATACCCTAACCGGGTCGAAGCGATGTAAAATAACGATAAAAAAAACTCCCTGAGCTAAGTCGGGAAAACGTTGTTAGTTAACGATAAACTTACTGGCGCCCAATCAATTATTAATATAGTCGAACAAAATTAGTGAATTAAGAGATTTTCTTGAGCCCTGGCAGCCCTTGACTCAGGCCGCGCCAGGTGTAGGCCTTCAGCCAATTCACATTTTTGCAGTCAAATTTATTAATCCAGTCGAATATTCATTTGGAAATAAAAGGCCTGTCTGAAGGAAATCCCTGATTCTCTTCAGTATTGGATAAGGACTGGTGCGGATTTGGTCATGAGTGAATAAACAGTGGAGATCTCTCCGACTTTTCATCGTCTATTCATTTCCAACCTGTATTCCCAAAGGTGAGGATATGTTTAGCGTTCATCTATTTTCTATGAATTCCGGGAGCTGATAGACTCGTAGGTAATCGTCATCAATTAATCATCACTGATCAAATTATTTTGTACTATTGAATCATATTTATTAGTGAATTTTCTCCAGAATAAGTGTAAATGAGTTGTCGTAGAGAAATCGTGTTTGTCAATGTCTTTAGATTCACATATTCAGAAATCATCGTCGCATTTATATTATCTACTTATTCGGGCTAAAGGTGAGTATGAAAATTATATCTGATCAATCACTGACATTCTTCAACACTGCCACTCCCGAGTATGCTTTTGTGAGAATCTGTAATCAAGAAATATCATCAGCCGAAACCAAAATGGCCATTAACTATTAAAGCATATGAGAAATTCATATTTTTGAAGGTTTCAGCTGTCAAATTTACGACACCACCTGCACTGACTATCAAGAGATTCCTGACAGCTCCAAGGAATATCTTGAGATTATTCCGAAATATTCGGTCCTTGTTGTACCAGTGTACTGCATAGAGTGAATAACTCGTCTTGACACTCTCGACTAAGATATAATTACCAACGCAGCAGAAGGCTAGTAATTGAAATGTTACCAGAATCAAAAATCCACATGCTATGAGGGAATTGGTGAGATTTCCTTGCTGACCCTTGAAGGAAATTCAGAAAAGCTGTCAATACTAGAAAATCAGTGAGGCTCTTCTAGAGTGTGATGATATTGACCAAAATCATTTGTAACCCAGATATAGTGATTAATAATAAACTATTGAGTAGCTGGGGCAGAAGAACTTTGTTGTACATGTTTTTGAAGATGTTCACCATCCTGAAAAGGAAATTCATGGAAAGACAATATATTTTACTTGTTACAAGAATGTAACAAGTAAAATGAAGGGCTAGACTTGCTTTTATCTTGCAGAAACCATCAACACATTATACTTCATACAAATGAATAAGTCAGGTGACTTGATGATGCGTGAGAAAACATTAGTTGATAAATCGTAGATCAATTTACCACTGTTTATCATTGGTGATAGTAAATGTAGTCATGTGACAGTTTTCCAATCGAAAATTGAGTAGTCTCAATTGGGCTGTTATATTAATCACCACTGACATAATGATCGAGTCATGACAAACGGCAACCAATCCGAGGGAAGTGAATGTCACATAATCGCATATGAAAGCCACCTAGAAATTACTCAATATGAAAAAATATCTCAAAGGTGTGGATCTGGAGAGGAATGAGCAAGTCAACATAACTCGGTCTAAGGGTTCGTGATCATGTGGAGGAATACAGACAAATACATTACCTGATGGCCAAATTGTCCACTTTATAATCTGACTGACACAGCGTCATATAGAAGTCCAATGTGAAGTATTGTATCAGAGCAATGATGATGATGATGGTGAATTTTTTGGACGCACTCAAGGAATTTGTGAGCACTTCGTTCCGGTATTGTGCTGAAAGACGATAAAATTATGACGAATTGACATTTGACTTTCAACCTTTTGCCTTTGATAGTTGCGACCAGATATCTGACTCTCAATATTTCCCGTAATATTTGACACTGTGAAAAAAATTGAACTGTTGCTATTTTCCACGAACCCCAGTGATCAACATACTTATCTGTCTCATAGTTAACAACTGTCTCTCCCAGTTGAACGTCTTGGATAACTCCAGCACTTCAATTCGATGAATCAGGAAAGCAATTCCTTTAAGACTGTCAGCTGCCTCAACAGCCCGGAATGAGAAGTCCTGGAGTAATTGAGATGCACTTTTACCCGTGATTGCTCGGACTGCTAGGCCCAGAACTCTCGTTATCATCACTGCACTAACGAAGTACGTCGAGTAGATCCCATACAGCCAGTACTTGAGCCCTTCTTCATACGGGTTCCATATACCTGAATCATCATCATTCTTTCAATGTCTCGTGATAACATCTTGTGGTAACGTAGAGAAGAACTATTATTGCATGGTAGACAAGACATAAAATTACGAATTCTACATAAAATTATCGGGAAGACCTGCTCTTTTCTCGTGTCAGTTCCTCTGGTACTCATCCTTGTTCGAGATGTTCTTCTATAACTGTCATTTATTATTCTAAGTCGCGTGTTCCCCGCGTAATGTTGCAACCATCTTCGTTTATGCAAGTGTATCGTAATTTTTTTATGATTAGTCGATGAATTAATAATGAAGCTATTTAATTATGTATCGCCCAGCTGGACCTTTGTTTACTCCAGCGGAGAGTGGATACTCAGTTATAAGGAGACATGGCTTCGTGCAACAGTTTACCTATTGTCATTTGGAAATGCCCAATGTATGCAATTTAATATTGTTCACAATACTCCTTGTTTACTTCATTCACCTACTCTGCAGTACCCGGTGATATTACAACGTTCGTCACATAAATATATGAGTGAGCTAAATTGCCTCATATTTATCAAAAATTTCTGCTCATATGGCGGAAAATAACTAAATAACATGGAAGTACATTGTGATATAAATATTTATTTATTATTCATTATGTCAGCAATACAATATACAACTTGAAGGATTAAAATCTGAATACTTCAATTCATCAACTCAAGTTCTTCATAATTAATTCATCAGGTCTGTATGGTGGAGAGTCAACTCATCTACAATTTAACTATCACCATGCTAATCCAATGTCATTAATCCTCCATATTCTGTAGCACTGCAACTCCTGAGTAAGCTTTCGCTAGAATCTGGAAGCAAGAATTTGGATGAGGCGTCGAAGAAAATTTCGGAGTAAGGTAAGTGATCGAGATAGTTGTGTACATTTTTGAAAGTCACAGCTGATAAGTCGAAAAGTCCACCAGCGCTGACGACCAGAGGGTTTCTCACGAGACTGAGAAATATTTTAACATTACTTCGATATACAATGTCTCGATCGTACCACTGAGATGAGTAAATGGCAAAGCTTGTTTTGTCACTCTCAACGAGAATGATGTTGCCACCCCAGCAGAAAGCAAAAAGTTGAAGGACAGCTGAGAGCATGAATCCCAAGGCCACCAGTGTACCATCGAGGCTCCCTCCTTCTTTGATCTAGATGAAATTTCAAACATAAATTATTAGTCATCGAGATGTGAGTCATTTAGTGCGTTCACTTGAAAAAATTATGCTCAGGAATACTGACTAGAATCATTTGTAATCCACAAACAATGATCAATAATAAGCTTATCGATAGTTGAGGTAGAAGTACTTTGTTGTAAATATGTTTGAATATCTCTAATATCCTAAAAAGAAAATTCTATTAGAAATCTGCAAAATCTCTATCGACGATTATCATCAATTATACTGGAATGGCGTCCTTTTTAGTTGAAAAAAAGTACCTTAAAATTTGTTGATGATGTCTGATGCAGTTGATGAGCTCTTCATTAGGATCAAGCGTTACAAATTCATCACTGGACTCCCTCTCAGCGCACTCAAACTGTGTGACCTTGGAATTTTCCTCAATTTCTTCATCAGAACTCTTGATCAAATTCGTCATGGAGCTCTTCTCCACCCGAAAATTGAGTATCTTCAGCTGTCCCATCAGATTTATCAACACCCCCATGATGAAAGCATCATGACAAACTGCATTCAATCCCAGTGATGTGAATATTACAAAATCAATGCTTATGGCCACCCAGTAATTTGTCAGTACGAAACAATATTTCAAGGGTGGTGAACTGTAAAGCAAAACATGGAAATGAATGAATGATTGATCATGTTGCATTAAGAGATCTACTGAATCATGAAAAAAGTATACATTACCCTATTGGCAAGTTGGCGATTTCATAATCCGAGTATTTCCAAATCACGTAGAAGTAAAATATGAAGTATTGGGTAAGGATAATTGCAACAGCAATGGTGAATATCTTTGACGCCATCATCGCTATTGTTAGTACTCTATTCCTATAGTATCCTTGATAAATTTCATGAAATATAATTACGGTCGCATGGTCATTCAATCATTCGAAAGCATTGGGAGCGACATTTGGGATCGAATCATTTACTCACTAACTTGTTCCGTTCCTAAAATGTGTCTCTCCCAATTGAATATACCAAGAATCTCCAACACATCGGACCGATGGAATACGAAAGTCAAACCTTTAGCGGCATCACAGATTAACACAACTAACAGTGAGAACTCTTGAGAGAATTCTGTTGAATTTGTCGTATGGAGTGCTCGCACTAATACGGTTATTATTCTCAATATCATTATCACAACGACGTAGTAGATTGTGTAGGCTTGATAGAGCCAGTACTTGCGGCCTTTCTCCATGGATGGATTCCATATACCTATTGTACATTAAGTCCCGAGCGAGTGGAGTTCGGTTAAATATTGGAATAATACACACGCAACAATTACTAAATAATATTCTTTTATTTTGAATCTAATTCCGCGAAGTTAAAATCAAAATCATTCATTCTGATACAGAAGGTATCAGATCAATGCTGATAATGACTATCGCCACGTTACTGGCCCAGAGACAATAGTCTCTCGAGTATTTATTTCGTAGAGTGACCATGATGTCTCGGCCTCATATCGGCATGGTGTTATGATAACTGAAATTGCTGATGCTGTTGCACTGGCTTACTTTTTATTGCGAATATACGTGTCTTTTAATGCACATATCTGATTTTTTCTGATTTTTATTTACATTTATCAATTTTAGTATTTGATTCTGAAATATGTATCACTTTCATTTGCCCCTATTTCAGAATGCCTTGGGAAATTATAGTCCACTTTTCGGGGCATAACGCCTGAATCATGATAATTTTTCTCAATACATTACATTTCACCAATTTGTGAGTATTAATCATCCAGTACGTGAGTCGATCACTAACATTTTTCCCTTGAGCATCAGCACTCACAGCACTCAAGGATTGATACTCGCACATTGTTCAATTGATATAAAAATATATTCCGTCAACTATGCGATTGTTTATTATAAATATTTTACCGAGACAACTCAAAACATTGAGAGTGAAGTATAAGTAACTCTTATCTATCGGGAAGACATTTTTCTTCTCAACTTTCGATTCTGTACGACCCATGTCTCCTCGAGCTGTTGTACAATACTGACTCCACAGCTGTCATTTATTATTCTGCGGTGAGTATGACTCTCATTACGCGAGACAACTTTCAACCATTGACGTTTTTCAGTTTTAAATTCCTCTGTGAGTTTAAAATGACTTTACAGCCGGTGAGGGGTAATGATACTTGCTTATTCATGATGAAATGGGAGTTGCCTATTCCTCTTCAGAGTGACATTAGTACTGATACCGTGGAGGTGATCGTACTCAAGAACGATTGTGTTGTACGATGTCTGTGTTTTGTAATCTGAAGCATGAGTATTCGTCTTCGGCTCGGCCGCTAACGCCACACGAGTGAAAAATTTCGTCGCAACAGCCCACAAATATACTATTCTAAGAATTGCTCTGCATTCGTAAAGGGGGACTGGCTCGTATACAAAAATTGACCAAATAACAGACATGACAAGTTAAATTACCTGCCGTGCCAGTTCCCTCAGAAACGGGTGTTGATGGAAATCAATATCCTTCGAGCAATAAAGATATGAGTGAGTTTAATTCCTACCTTTTTGAATTAATGCAGCACAGAATAATTCAGTGTAGTCCAACCACATCGTAAAATCAATATCTTTATTGATGAGCTTCACAGCGATACAATTCATAACAGGAGCATGGAGTGGATCGAATATGTTGCTTGATTTGATCACAATTATTTTCAGAAGATTGTCAGAAGCCGGCTTCACTGAACGGGTTCTAAATCGTTCTCATCTTCGAAGCTTCTCACTCCGTCAATTGAAATTTTTTAATACAGCAGCAACCGAATATCCTTTCGAGAGAATCTGCAAAAAAATAACAATTATTGGGGGGAAAATGTCGATGTTGGACCCTCGATTTATTTCAGAAAGGGTTCATTGTAGTTATCCAGACATGATCGAGTGTCTGAAGAGAACGCTGAACTATAAAAAATATATACAGGATGCCCTTTCCCATTCAGGACTACTGAACACCTCCTATGATACTATGCACGCGCAATCCACGCAAAAGTCTTCATTCTTAGTTTTTTTTTATTGTTCTAGAGTGATGCAACCCATCTATTAAGTAATTTTCGAAAGGAAAAAACTGTAAACTACAGATTAAGTTGTTTGAATTTGTAGTTTACAGTCTCTTAGGTATTTATATATCTCGTTTACATATATATTGACCACAAATCAGTTACGTCTGCGAATTTTCTGGTGGTAAAGGACCTACAGCAATTCAAGTTACTTAGACTAATTAGAATCTTAGATCTTTGTTAGTCGTACTTAGAACCGTGCCACAAGATACGATCAAAAGTTTGACTTTCTGCTCAGCAAGAGCAGCTGGGATTATTGGTTAGTCGAATTCTGGCCAAGAAAGCTGCAAGGTGGTAATGATTGTGAGAAAATTGTGAGAACAAGAATTAGGAGCTCTCAATGTTTAAACGAGGGTTCTAGGAAAGGAAAGTCTCACTATCAATATAACCGTCGAATAAAGCAACCGAAATGTAATGTATAAGTACATTTTTAAACGTCTCAGCTGTCAAACCAATGAGACCACCTGCAGTGACTGTGAGGGGATTGCGCACAGCTCCAAGGAATATCTTCAAATTATTCCTAAATACTCTGTCTTCGCTGTACCAATGTGATGCGTAAATCGAATAACTCGTTTTTTCACTTTCCATGAGAATAAAATTACCACCCCAACAAAATGCTAGTAATTGTACCACAACTCCAAAAAGAAATACAGATGCAATGAGGGTATCCGTACTTTTCTGATGTTCTCCCTTGAAATATAATTTGTATATTAAATTTATGCATATAGAATTTCATCGTCTCTACAATACTGACCAGAATCAGTTGTAGCTGAAGTACAGTCATACTCAGACTTATAAAAATTTGCGGCAGAAGTACAATACTGTAAATTGATTTGAATAGCTTCAACATCCTGCAGAGAAAATTAATAGAAGCGACTTCATTCACACAAATTAAAAGGAGAATTATTCAACATATTTTGAGTTACAATCATTGTGAGCAGTATTACCTCATAATTTGTTGATGAAATTTGATGCAGATGATGAGCTCGTCATTTGGTTCGAGAGTCGCAGGTTTATCATGAATCCGTACAACACAATCAAAATGAGTACCTAAATTCGGATGATTGCTGCTATAGTTGTCATTAGACTTATGCGAAGCCTGACGGTATTCCAGTCGAAGATTGAGAATCTTCAATTGCGCTGCTATATTTATCATGACTCCCATCAAGAAAGCGTCTTGAGAAAGAGCAATTACTCCAAGTGCAGTAGCTGATAAATAATCCACAATGAAGACTGGCCAGAATTTGGTGGATACGATCAAGTATTTCATTGGTATGGATCTAAAATGAAAGTTGGTGAGAATAGAATTAATCCAACAGGCAATACAGCAGTTGAAAATTAAATGGATTTTACCCCATGGGAAGCCTCTCCACTTGATGGTCAGATTGCATCAAAGCAGAGTAGAAGTAAAATGCAAAGTATTGTATTCCGGATATCATGATGACGATGGTAAATGTTTTAGATGCAAATAAAGAGTCTCTGAGTACTTGATTCCGTCGGTTTTCTGAATGAAGTTTATTGATAACAAAGATTATTTAAATATCCACAGTATGTGCTTAAAAAATTTCAAGGTTGTTGAGGAAATTTAGCTGCAGAGCATTGTGGTCACCTGATTTGTCTGAGCGCATACTTGGTGCGAGAGGTTACCGCCTCGCCAGATTCTCCCCTTTTTGTAATGATCTCCTCAACAACCCTGAATGTCAAAATATACACAACAAATTGTGTTGAATCAGTCAGAAGCAAGTCCACACTTGATTCCGGCTGATTTCACTTGATTCAAGTCAATTTTTCGGCTTGATTCAAACCAATGATGGTTTGAAACGTTTCTTCTTGAAGTAATTCACTTTTTCACTCATATCAGCTCCAGAATACGGATTGGAGTAGTCCAAGTCACTCGACTAGAAAAATGTCGAAAATCGACTAGAATCACGTCGACGTCGACTTGAATCAGTACCTGTTTATTAGGTGTATTATTAAAATATCCTCACTGAGTTCTTCACCACTCAACATGTGCTTCTCCCAATTGAATAGATTAGACAACTCCGATATCTGTACTCGATGATATATGAAAGCAATACATTTGATTATATCAGCAATTTCGGCAGCGAATATTGAGCTCTCTTGGATGAAAAATAATGGAGTATCAGCAGTAAGTGATCGTGAAAACGTACTCATTGTTCTCATTATGTGAATAACACCTATCATCCACATTGTATAAATTTGATAGAGCCAGTACTTGACACCAATCTCATATGGATTCCACAAACCTGGATTTTTACAATGTGTAGTACGACTCATCAACTAGCTACTCGATTTAAAACATTTTACCCATCAAAGTCATGCACTTGAAATTGAAATATAAATAACTTTGGTCTATCGAAAAGATAGTTTTCATTCCCATATCAACCCCTGAAACACTGATGACTGCTCGAGATATTCTGCAATACTGAGTTTATACCTGTAATTTATTATTCTGCGTCGTGCGTCCCTTTGATATTATCGACTGCAACTTCTAATAGTTGCAACGGTTACATGAATTTCAAATGACTGTGCGACTGATGGAGAATGAGGATGCTCTATTGTGCATTGTATATTTCATATTTGCCTGTTTCACTTCAATAGTTTCTAGGAACTATTTTACAGTCTGTCGAGGGCTGATAGATAGTAGTTTCATAGTAAAGATGAAAGAAAATTAAAGCGATGAGTTTTAGTTTAAATTTGAGATATCAGGTTTTGTGAGCAAGATTGTGAGTGCAAATATTATGAGCTCTCAGAGTCCGCTCAGACGAGGCGGATTGAGTGAAGCGCTCACAACTAGTATAGTTTTAGAGCAAAGTTTATCCAAGTGACGGACATTCGAAGGATAAGTTTGACTAGAAATAGAGAGGATTAGGTTATGTGATAGAAATTGTAAAGACAAGAATTTGGAGTGCTCTAACTCTGCTTACAGGGCTGCTCACACTAAACAGATAGCCCGTAAAGTACATACGAAATATGAGTGCTCAGTGACTGCTGACACGTAACGAATGGAGATCTATATCGCACATCTTGAACAGCACTTCATCCTTTCCACTTTTCTTACTTCGAGTGACATTAATTAATCAGGATTTTGAGTTACATTAATCAGGGTTTTGAGTGACATTAATTACTCAGGGTTTTGAATGGTGAGAAGTTCATGACTCAAAGGTGTCACATTTATTCATTCATTCGTCGTGCAATCGCTCGTAAAGAATTATTTAACCTAAAAGGACACTATTCAAATTCCAATTCAATGCCATTAATCTTGTACATTTTGTAGCACTGCAACTCCTGAATATGCTTTAGCCAAAATCTAGAAACAATAGTTTTCATAAGAAATTTAAAAAAAAATTCATAATGGGATGCGGAATGAATAAAAAATTGTATACATTTTTGAAAGTCACAGCTGACAAGTCAAAGAGGCCACCAGCACTGACAATGAGAGGGTTCCTCACGAGACTGAGGAATATTTTAACATTATTTCGATATACCAGGTCTCGATCATACCACTGGGATGAATAAATGGCAAAACTTGTTTTGTCACTCTCAACGAGGATGATGTTGCCACCCCAACAGAACGCAAAAAGTTGAATGATAGCTGTTATACAGAAAACCACAGCCACCAGTGTACCATCAAGGTTCCCTCCGTCTTTGACCTTGATGAAATTTCAAACAAGAGTGATGAGAAATAAAATATTTATTTTGTTCCTTCGAATAAGCGATGTTGCGAATACTGACAAGGATCATTTGTAATCCACTGATGATGATCAATATCAAGCTAACGGATAATTGAGGTAGAAGTACTATGTTGTATATATGTTTGAATATGTCTAATATCCTGAAAAGAAAATTGCAGTAGACATCATCAATAGTTCGATCAATGATCATGATCAATCCCATTCAAACTTCCAAGTTGAAACGGGGTAATTTATTATTTTAGAAGAAGAAACTTACTTTAGAAGCTGTTGATGATGTCTGATGCAGTTGATGAGCTCTTCATTGGGATCAAGCTTTACAGACTCATCATTGCACTCCCTTTCAACGCACTCAAACTGAGTAAACTTGGAATTCTCCTCGACTTCTTCATCAGAACTTTTGATCAAATTCGTCATGGAGCTCTTCTCTACCCGAAAATTGAGTATCTTCAGCTGTCCCATCAGATTAATCAACACTCCCATGATGAAAGCATCATGGCAAACTGCACTCAATCCCAGGGCAGTGAATATCACAAAATCAATGCCAAGGGCCACCCAGTAGTTTGTCAGTATGAAACAATATTTAAGAGGTGGTGAACTGAAAGTAAAATCAAAAGAATTCTCGCCAAATCAGGAACATTCAATGACAACTTGGCTCTTCCATCAGAATAACATATGTACATTACCCTATCGGCAACTTTTTCACATCATAATCCGAATATTTCCAAATGACGTAGAAATAAAAGAGGAAGTAATTCGTGAGAAAAATTGCAACAGCGATGGTGAATATCTTTGACGCCAGCATCGCTGTCGTTATTACTTTGTTCCTATAGTATTCTAAATAGATTTCACGAAAAATAATTATGCCTTCAATCTCATCCCGTCATGAAAACAATTGGAATTAGAATTTGGGACTTAACCATTTACTTACTAATTTGTTCTGTTCCTAAGATGTGTCGCTCCCAATTGAATATACCAAGAATCGTCAACACTTCAGGTCGATGGAATATAAATGTGAAACCTTTAATGGCATCACAGATTAAAACAGCTAGTAATGAGAATTCTTGAAAGAACTGAGTTGAATTTGTCGAATTGAGTGCCCGCACCAATACAGTTAGTATTCTCAACATCATTATTACAACGCAGTAGTACATAATGTACAGTTGATAGAGCCAGTACTTGCGCCCCTTCTCCTTGTATGGATTCCATATACCTGGATCATGATCATTGTTCTTAATATATTACACCTGATCAACTTGCGAGTGTTAATCATTAAGTGTTGGAGTCGATCACCAAATTTTCCTGGAGCATTAGCACTCACAGCACTCAAGGATTGACACTCATCGTTGTTCACCCGATATAAAAGTATATTTCATTGACGACATGATTTTTTATTATAAATATTTTACCAAGACAGCTTAAAACATTGAGAGTGAAGTATAAATAACTCTTATCTATCGGGAAGACGTTTTTCTTCTCAACTTGCGATTCTTTTCGACTCATGTCTCATCGAGCTGTTGTACAATACTGACTCCGCAGCTGTCATTTATTATTCTGCGTTGAGTGGGGCTTTGATGTGAGACGAGTTTCAAACATGAAACTTCATCAATTTAAAATTCCTGCCTGAATGACTTTAGTCGACAGCGGATAACGATGCTTCATTATTCATGATGCTATGGGGGTTGCCTATTCCGTTTCCGAGTGGCATTTAGTGATGCCATCGAGACTAGTCGAGAATTATTTTAAAGAGATCATCACGGTCTGGAAAAACATCGAAAGTTTTGGAAACGTCGCAATCTCGAAAGACATTGGATTGGTGCATCTCGTCACAATTCCGGGAGGATTTATCTTGCTTGAATCTCGACTTTTTCGGTTTTTTAAGTTCACGAGATGAGACGAGACAGATATTGAGACAAACATATGAAAACAGAAAATACTAAAATTCAGACGTGATGCATACTTCCAAGTTCGTGACGAGGTGCACCGATCTAATGCCTTTGGAGATTACGACCATTCCAAAACTTTCGGTGTTTTTTTAGACCGTGATGATCTTTTCAAAATAATTCTCGTCTAGTCTCGACAGCATCACTAGTGGCATTAGTAATGATGGGATGAAGGTGACCACACTCGAGATGGAAGATAGAATCTCCACGAGTGTAATTTGTGATAAGCAAAAGTGAAATTGAATTTGGATTTAAGAGGGCGGAGACTGGAATATCATGAGGTGATTGTGAAGGGTCAAATGAGGCAAATGTGAACGGTTTAACAAATGAGGTGAATTTTAAGAATTACTAGTTAAGTATCATTGACCAGATATCGCTAGCCAAATACGCTGAGCCTAATGTGACAGGTCCGTTCTCTCTCAAATTGAAGATGAATTGGTACTAAACCACCATGAACCAACCGTATTGTGCGGACCCCCCAGAAAATGCTCCAGCTCATTCACTATTCATGACCCCTCGTTACCGTCGTCAACTTCAGTAAAGTTGTCGACCGGCGTTCAACGCATCGAAAAGCATCGCAGGAAACTTTTTTCTACCGGAAGAGACTTCGTCCGAAAGTTTTTCCCCTCACCGAGGGGACTAAATTACGCGCATTATCGAAATGGTGTAGTCCAACAGCTCTTCCCTCCCGCAGGTTTTCCTCATTCATCACAAAACTTTATTAATATTTTTTTACGGCCTTTCGAGTCCTCATTTTCGAGACTCATTTCAGCACTCTATCCAATCCTATGCATGCGGCAGTGGATTTTACACTGTACCGCATTCGCACTTCTATAGAACACACGAGTAGCATGGGAAACCACAGGAAACCCATGCCGGTACAGGCGATTACTCTATTAGCAACCTCCCGCTCGTCGGAGTCTTCCATTGAAAAATTCGGTTCCACGTTGTATCGAACTCACAACCTTTCGCAGACTAGACTTGTGTCAAGCCCACTCGGCCACCGGCGTCGGTACTTTATTAATATTATCTGGAGTTTAATCTTCACCTGCTCTACAAGCACACACTTCCAAATTTGTGAATAGAAGGAGGCTCCTCATGACGCATGAGAAAAACCAAATGTTGTACTATGATTTCATTATATTGAAACATTATATGAGATTATTTTCAGTCATTTCTTTGCGAACAATATCGAATACCAAGTATCATACTAATCATTGACCGCTGGAGTTCTTAAGTATAACCATGAATGAATACACCTTCATATGGTCCACACGCAGACACTTCCAGATTTGTAAATAGAAAGTAATAGCCTCTTCGTGGCGCATGAGATTTCATTATATTGAAACATTATATGAGATTATTTTCAGTCATTTCTTTTCGAACAGCATCGAATACCAAGTATCATAGTAATCATTGACCGCTGGAGTTCTTAAGTATAGCCATGAAGGAATACGCCTTAGTAAGAATCTGAAACGATGCACAGGATTATTAGCCGCGATACACATGATGGAGTAAAGTATAGGTAAGTTAGTCATATACATTTTTGAATGTATCTTTCGACAAGGCGATGACACCACCGATGCTGATCACGAGGGGCCTCTCTACGAGTGAAAGAAAGAGGGCCAAATTTCCTCTGAATTGTTTGTCATTGTTGTACCACTGCGTATTATAGGCGGAGGAGCTTATCTGCTCACTCTCGATGAGAATGCTATTACCACCTGCGCAGTATATGTATAATTCCAAGGTTGCCCAGGTAACAAATATGAGTGGATGTACCATAGCATGGACATCCTCATCGGTATCATAGTTTGTCTGAAGAGAATTACAGAAAAGGAATTTCAAAAATGGCGTCTTCAACTGATAAATGTTTGTATTTATGTCACTAAGACTTACCAACACCAGTTGACAGCCCATCAATGAAAGGATCAGTAAGCTGCTTAGCAATTGCGGCAGAAGTATGTTGTTATAGATTGATTTGAAGGTAGTGAAGATTCTAGAGAACAAAAAATGAATGATTATGAATTTTTTCCATTTTCTTATGAGTGAGTAACTTATTGGAATAGCTGAACGTATTTACTCCGTCATTTTCTGATGATTCTCGATGCACTTGATGAGCTCCCTATTCGGATCAAGCACCGATACATCTTTTGACATCTGATGACACTCGTAGCTCGTTATTTCCAGATTCTTCTCATCTTCAGGAATGATCAATTCCTCGATAAATGTCTTATGACAATTGCTCAATCTAAAGTTGAGAATTTTCAGTTGGACTGTGATGTAACTCATGACGGCCATCAGAAAGCTGTCATTGATGATTATATTTGCACTTGCAAAATTATGAACAATGTAATCAGCAAGAGCAACAGTTCGACAATTCTCTGCTGAGGAAAATTCTTTCAGCGGTAAATAACTGAAAAAATAATGGGCCTCAATAAACCAATATTGTTAAATACAAGCCATTTAACTGAAACCAAGAGTTTATTGGAGGATTTTGAGGCGAAGGTAATAACTAAAAGAGATATGAAAAGGAGTAACGCGTTCGAGGACCAAGGGCGAAGATGAAAGAATAATGAGTACACTGATAGAATGATTCATTTATTCCAAACGAGATTCGTTAACTATTAACGAATGGTAGAGTTGAATATGACCAAATGAATATTCGTTAATAGTTAACGAATGGTTCACTTGAATGACGAAAATCAAGTCCAACAAGGCTCCTCAAATGTACATTCGTTAACTATTAACGAATAAACATTTAGGGGGACCGAATAGACCCTAACCTTCAACCAAAATCCATTCATTAAGAATAAGTAATCCGTTCTATCAGTGTAAGAAAGAGACGATCACAGGTGAAGGTAGTTGAAAGGGAGGAAAAGCTCAAAATAAATAAAGGTTTATTAAATTAAAAGATAAAATAGACGAAGATAAAATACAAGATGGATGTGTCAAAAATGAGAGGAAAAAAAGTGAGTGAAACAATTGAGAGACGCTAACTTCAAAGGAGAGGTTCAGAGAAAAAAAAAAGTATAAATAATAGAATACAATTGCGGAAATTAGAGATTCGTCGATAATTCATCTATGGATTTCCTGATTGGCCGCCCACCACTGACGCAAGTCACGTTTTACCCCTCTGCGCAATACGTCGGCGCGGCGCAACAACTCTTGACTGCACGACAGAAGAGGGGGTCTCCCTACGAACTGAATCCGAAGGATTCGCAGCCCTGGAGCCGAGATGATAGGGAATCTGCGGTATGATCGTAGGGATCTATTCCTAGGGCCATCGAATCATCCGCTGATCCAGATATTTAAGGTTTTCGATTGGTCGAAAAATTTCTAGACTATGAAACACTATGACTATTTACCTAAGGGGATAATCAGTCAGCGTGCAGTTGGCAACAGTCAATGTAGAGTACAAATCTGCGAACGAATTCATTAGAACAATCCCACTGATAATTAATGTCAGTTTTCTCGATGATGCCGAAGCCTTCGACATCAATACATCTCGGAAATGAGCTGTTTAAAGCAGAAATAAAATGAATTGAGTATATAATACGCGTAAATAAGGATATACTCGCGAACAGGCGCTTCGCGCCTGCCGCTAGATTAGTTTATACTATTCTATTTTATTTTATTTTCTTTCCATTTCCGTCTTCACAATTAGATTAATTTAATTTTATCCATTCTTATTTTTATCATATATATTTTTTTCATTAGTTCATGTTCCTTATATGTTACAACATTGAATGAAGAGGAATTATGTTAAAGGAAAATAAATCGTATTTTTTATGATCGAAACAAACACAAAACAAAAGTCATTCGAAACTTCATTCGGGTAATATAAAAATGTCTCCATGTACACTCGTTTACTAAAGTTCTGAAACAATCTGAACTTGCATCCTATGTATTTTGTTTCAGAACTTAAACGAGTGTAATGTAAACGAGTGTATTCCTGAAAATATTTAAAATCGACTTATTTCGAATAATAAAAGAATACTCGTACTCGAATTCCAAAAATCACGAATTGGAGACTGAAAATTTTTAAAAAGGGATAATAGCTAGAAAATGAAGAAAACTTGTTTGTCTTCATTTCTGTCGGTGGAAAATTGGAATCATTGTTTTCTCTTCGAATATGGGCGGGATATGACTATTTTCGATTTTAATGATCTAATTTTAATGAAAAAAATGAAAAAAAGAAGGCGGAACGAAATTAAAAAAAAAATTTCAATGTCTCCGTAAAGTTTTAAAATCTATTTGATTTTTCTAATATTTTTAATAAATTTCCTAATAGTGGAACAATATCCATAAATTCGATTCCTATCCTTGTTTTTTGATAGAATAAATAGAATAAATGATAGAAATTGAAAATTGGGAACTACAAATTTTATCGGATTATTATTATGTAATGTAATTATGTATCTTATATATCTAGAGGGTATATTGCATTCTTCACTACTGAGTACTCACCCATTTGCGGTGTACACGACAAATGCCTCTCCCAATTGAATAGTCGTGCCAGCAGTAATATTTCAGCTCGAGAATATACGATACTGAATGTTTTAAAAGCCCCAGCAACATGAACAACCACTGATGCAAATGCTTGTGTGAATTCTGGCAATGTACGTGCATCCAGTGTTTGCAATAAGTCAGCTATACATTTAACTGGAAATATTCCATAATTGTAATAAAGTATGTAAATTTCATAGACCCAGTATTTAATCCCTGCATCATACGGATTCCATGCGCCTTGGTAAATTGAAAAGATATTTCAACAATTGCATTATTCACTTGTTATTTAGAGAATGTATTATGCGATTTGAGGATGACAATGACAAAATATCGAGTCAATGGAGCATATTTAAATGACTTTCTTCTGCACTGGAAACTTTAGCGAAAAAATAATCGACTTGTTCTGTTAATTTCGGAATTTTATTCTTTCTACGATGATTGATGCAGTGATAATGCGAATATATGACATGAAAACGGAGTAGGCCCATACCCAGAGCTGCTATGTACTTGAGGTTGAGTGAGATGTAACTTTCGTCTATTGGGAAAACACTTCCCTTAGCCATTTCTCAAGAATAACCTGGATGTGTCCTCCTCGATGGTCTCCAAAACACTGACATTGTCACGGTCATTTATTATTCTACGTTACGCGCCGAGTACGTGGACGAAAAAAACGTGGGCAAAAATAATTCTCAACTTTTGGCATTTCGTCATGAATTCTTTATGAGCCTCTAGTTTTACTGGGTGGAAAATTATTTTCGGGTCATGCATAATAGAGAAAACATCTGCTATTCTTTCGTATTCTTCCGCTTCTGGGAAATTATTTGGATAATATAATATAATATTCGATGGTGGAGAACGAAAATCTTTCGGGGGTAGTTCATGGAGAGCTGTTGTGAGAGTGAAGAAAAAACAGAAAAATTTGAATCAACAAAAAACTTGATAGATTTCAATTTTTTTACTTTTTATTTCCCAGAAAAATGTGGAAAAAGGGTAAAATTTAAAGGTGAGAGCGAAAAAAAAAATACAAAATGTGTTCTTAACTAGCATATTTATTCAATTAATAAACAACAATTAATTCATCCCATTCAGCAGAATTCGTTGTCGATTTGAGATAAGAATTGAACTAAACATCTGTTATTTTTTCGTATCCTTCCGCTTCAGGCAAATTGTTTAAACAGTATGGGGAGGGGAACAGTGAAAAGCGATCGTGAGAGTGAAGAAAAAGCCGAAAAAAACTTGATACACGGAGAGAAAAATTTAATAAAAATTACTAGGAAAAAAACGTAAAAATTACGCTTCGAAAAATAATCCACGAGCGAAGTAAAATTCAATAAAAAGTGGGAAAAATTAACCAGCCGTCTGATGGCTCACCGCTGTGGGAACAACAAGTCGTTCCGTAATTTTTCCCCAACGATTGAGAAATTTTACGGAACGGAACGTAGAAATACCTCACCAATTTCATAAAAATTGTTGAACGTTCAAGAATTTTTTATTTTGGAGGCACAATAAATCGGCAAGTTTCTGTAAGATTTTACTTCTTCGGGAAAAATTACGTGACAACTTCGTACTTTGTTCGGTGATGAATCTGAAAATTCACTGAACGTTTCAGATTTCTTCTCTTCCATTCATATAAAAATTGCCGGAAAACGATTTCCCCTTGCGGAAAACGTAAATTGTTCCGTAATTTTTACTGAATATTTCTCGTCGTGTCGAGATGATGATTTCAATTTTTTTTACTTTTTCATTTCACAGAAAAATGTGGAAAAAGAGTGAAATTTAATGGCGAAAGCGAAAAAAATACAAAATATATTCTCAACTCGCATATTTATTCAATTAATAAACAGAAATTAATTCATCCCATTCAGCACAACTCGTTGTCGATTTAATATAGGAATTGCTTTGATCTCAAGATCAAAAGTAGCATGTCTCCCACCGAACAAAACCGGAGCTGGAGGCTGTGGCGAGTGTTCCAAATTGTCTCCCTGATGTTCTTCACTCGAAGTCTCGTGAATGTTGTGACCCTGTGTGCCTGAATTTTCCGAATTTTTCACCTGATTTTCGTCACTCGGAGACTCATAAACTGTGTGGCCACCCTCATGCCCCACGAAATCCGGAATTTTTGTTGTACTCGAGTTCAAAAATACCCCTGACACCGGGAGTATCACTTCCACTGGAAGTTCACCCACTGTAGTGCCCTCTGCATCACCCTCCGTAGGACTCTCCATACGGCTGTCCGTAATTAATTCCTCATCTGCTAGTGGCGTTTCATCAGGTTTCGGGGAAGTGCTTGACCCTCGTAGTCTGAATTTCCTGAGGAATTTTTTTATCACACTCATGATACTCGTGGTTTTCTTCCTCTTCGGATCGTAGATCTCGCCGCCCTTCTCTTCCGCTGCCCTTCCCTGGAGCACCAGCTTCTCCAGGAATTGAGATTCAGCTGGAGGGACGAGGAATCCGTAGCCTTTCAAGGCTCCGTGAGGTCTTCTGTGTTTTCCGGAATGTTTGTAACATCTGCGGAATTTTCGGGGGTCTGAGGTGTCGTGTGAATACTCTTGACAGATTTGCTGATTTTCTTCATCTGAAGGACTGTTCGTGTCTAGATTTTTTAAGCAGAGACTGCTATGAGTTTTAAAAGTCGCGGGAGATTTCTCATACGTTAAAGTTCCATTATATATGTCTAAAAAAGAATCATTAGTGCGAAAAAATTGTTTATTGTTCGTGTGCCCCGCACACGCTTAAAATTTTAAAAATAGTCCAGAGCCTCCAATTTTTGAGCTACAAAGGTTCCTTTCTTTTCAAAATATTAAAAAAAATTGTGCAATAATAGTTACGAATTATGTTTTTGAAATTCGACTCCCACACAGCTAATTTCGCTATTTTACATGAATGGTGAAATTTTTTATTGAAACAATAAAGAAATTAGCTGCGTAGGAGTTGAATTTAAAAAAATTAATTCGTAATTGTATTTGCACATATTTTTTTTCTTAATTTTGAGAAAACAGAAACCTCTGTAGCTACAAAATTGGAGGCCCTGGAGTATTTTCAACATTTCAAGTGTCTGCGGGGCAAAGGAACAAAAAAAATAATTTTTTCGCACTAATTATTCATTTTTAGACATAAATAATCGATCTTCAATGTATGCGAAATTGCATTCCAATAGCCCGCGACTTTTAAAAGCATAGGCATCTCCCCTTAAGGCTATAAGGATTTGTAATGGTTTCTACGGAATAGAGAAATGGTGTGGAGAAAATTCTAAGGGTTGAACACTATAAATTGCATATGGAAAGTTGAACATCGCGAAAAGTTGAACGTGTAATATCATGAGTCGCTTGCGAATGGTCAAATCAACAGATCAATAGCTGGACTCAGACCAATACCTGGACGATCTCATCTTTTATTGAATATTCTATAAATAATAGAATGAAAACTATCCTGATTATTATCGTTATCAATAATAACACTTATGTATAATCATGTGATGAAGTTGTTTTCGAAATATCAACATTGCAGCGAGAAAAAAAATGAAATATGCGGAAGGTACAGTGCTGGGTGGCGTGGCGCTGCAATTTGCTAAGCATCAGTAACAAAGTGTCGTGGAGAAAAAAAAGTTCTCTTCCGAAAGAGTCAGATGTGGGAAATAGTACAATATTTTCCGGAGGAGAATCCCATCCCGAAGATTAAGAATCTATTTGGCCTAGTATTTCTTCACATTCAATTTACAAAAATTCACATGTTTATATCAACTGGATGAAAATTCTATCTTCCTCCAGATCGTCCATGTATTGGCCATCCACTGTCCATCTATTGGCCCCAGCGTCCAGCTATTAGGGATTTGGACGATATTCCACTTTTTCTCATTTAATTATTCTTCTCTTCATTTTTTTCCACTTCAAATTATTGTTTTAGAACTAATTTTTGATTCATTTAGCTCCTTAATCGATTTTAAATCCTTTAATGAAGTTCAACATTCCCTTAATTGTTCAGCCATTGTCCTGTTTACCACATGATGTTGCTGGCTAAATCATTGAAAATTCTAATGTTCACTATTCAAAAATTCATTATCGCAATTTCATAATTCTTGTGCCATTGAATTAGTCATTTTTCATTCTACATCTCCTTACGATTTGCAGGCAAGGTGCTGACATCATCCTGTATATTATTTTCATATTGAAAACGAAAATAAATTCAACTCACCTTTCTCCTCTGGTCCAGCTCCCACAACCCCGTGGGAGTCACTCCGTCCACCCGTCAGCATGATCATCAGAAATCCCGCAAGAAGATTAATAAAAATTCTCATCCCTGTACGAATTTTCAAAATGGAATTCAATGGAGGTTATAAAGCCGTTGAAGAGAACAAGTGATATCTGAAATTATCTCGCAATTATATTAATTGACTTTTGATATTTCAGGGAGAGATGAATCAAGATAAAAGCCACTTAGTCTAATCCTTTCGATAAACCCAGAGATAAATTGCGGATGACGGGAATTGGCGGTCTAAGTGAGAGCGAATGATAAGAGTGGGAGGGAAAACGAAGATGGAGGAGTTTGGGTGAACGAGGGACGAGTAAATCTTCCCTTCGACGTACGTTTGTTATTCTTACTGGGGGTCGCAATAAAGGGAAGTCCTGGTGCTCTCCATTCTTCAATTTGTCTCATTGAATTCCTCGAGAGGGGCCAGAGGACTGGGACAGAGGTAATTTAATTAGAAAATGTCTGAATGACGTGGGGTAAATACAAAATACGATTTCATTTTTTGCTTCCGAATGGAAGTATTGCAATCCTTCGATTTTCACATTCTCTAATTTTGATTGAAAATGATGTAGAACTGTCTGAAACGGAAAAATACGAAGTTTGGGAACCATGTCTGTATCACTCAAAATAATTACTTTTGATCCGTAGCACAAGTACTTGTACCCAATACCAAGGGGCTTCTTGGGAAACGGCACATTTTTGTACTTCCTCCAAGTTACGAAATAACTTGATGCAAGTATCATGCATCAAGCACCTCTGTACTGGCAAGAAGTACCTCAGTACTTGTCACAAGTATTTTGTTACTTGGGACAAGTTAAAAAAATTACTTGTACTGAGTACTTGGCTGGTTCTCTTCAAAAGTACCAAATAAACTCAATATAAGTTGAGTATAAGAACTAAAAAATGTTTTTCTACCTCTTCTAAAAACCGAAATTCGTCAAAAATTGAAAAATCCAAATAATTCCCGTTATGTGAGTAATAAAATTGAAAAGAAATTGAAAATAATTTTTCGAAGCCTTATAAATGTTGATAACAACATAAAGCATAAAAATCTCAACAAAATTGAAATTTTGTAGGTGGGAAAGCATACCAATAATTCTCTAAATCATCCATAAAAATCGCAATCTATTGATTTTTTCCTACAAAATATCTTCTGCTGAACATTTCTATTTACAAAAATGCGTAAGAAGGCCCATTCTATCCGGTAATAACATTCACTTTTTTCAATAAAGTAATCAATTGGAAGTACTGAAATAAAATCTTAAAAGTACTTGAGAGAAGTTGAAAAATTACTTTTCACCAGCACCTTTGTACTTGTGAAAAGCGCTAAAAGTATTGGCAGTAAGTAGTGATACTACTTCCTCCCAGTACCATTTCTACTCGATCGGCAGATGTGGTACTTCACCCAAGTACTCAAAATGTACTTGGGACGAGTATTTTTAGAATTTTTCAAAAGTGAACTTCCCCCAAGTTCCGGATTGTACTGGTGAAAAGTATTTTTTTTTGTGTATGTGACCACGTCCACCGCCACCTTCTTGGTGGTCAAGTTTTAGAAAATCGAGTAATTAAGTGGCGAAGTTAATTCCAAAAAATCTGAATTTTTTTCAGATTATAGGTCCTAATGAGAACTAGCTCTGTGCAAAATTTCAGCCTGATCGATCTAATAGTCTTTGAGAAAAACAATTCATCTTTATCATCTTTATTATTTCGATTTTAGTTATTGGCCAGTTTTCAATGAATGTCTCGAAATCGAAGGGAGATAGCTTAATTTTTCTCATAACCTCTTTAGTAGCACTCAATTCGCGCTACAAAAAAGGCTATTATGAAAATTTCGCCATCTCCCTTAAATTCAGAAATATTTCTAGAAAACACAACTAAAGACTAAATTGACTTAAACCGTTTGACCATTTCGTTAGTGATTTATGCCAAAAGTGGCTAAAAATTGTTAATAACAATGTGTTTGCACCACTTTAAGAAGAAAACAATTCGGATTCGGATCCCTCACCTCCAAAAACGCGAAAAAACGCCATAAAATTCCCCGGACTCGGACTAACGAGACGAATATGAAGGTTCAAATTTTGACAGCCACATATCATGAAACACATGTTGATAGTCAAATACGATGAGTCAAACATGGAAGGGTCATGACATTCGAGAGCAGTCTTAATGTTCTGATCATTCTCTCCCTTTATTTTGTCACAGAAAAACAGAATTCCGTCGAGGGTCGGAATGAGTTCCGCCCCTCCGTCCCACCCATTACCGAAGGAGATAAAAAGTCGACGACTACCACCTGCACCAGTCCATTCTCCTCCTGGCCTCGAAATCCGTCGGACGTTCTAACGCAACTAAAAATTCTCCCCCAATTCATTGCAATTTTCCATTGCGAAATAATTAACATTCGTACTGATGAGGACCATCAATTCTGAATAATGAGAATCGCCATCATAATTCTCTCAATTTACATCGCAAATATTGTGCAGTGCGATGACACCTCCAGTGGACCCGACGATTTCCGAACCCTGAACTCTGAATTACTGAAGTTGAACGAGATTAACGCGATTCTTGAATGGGAATCGGCGACTCGGCCATCACCAAATGTTTCCGCCCTCAAGAGAGAGTTTTACAAGATGCGGGTGGGATGGCGGGAGGGCTGGTGCGATAAATTGAGGGGATCGAGAGAGGAGAGGATTGTTTATCTACTCTGCAGAGGGCCCAAGTTCTCACCGGAGCAGGCGAGTCTGCTGTCGCTGATATCAGACGAATTGATGATGAGTTATCAGTCGAGAGAAGTTTGTGACACCTCTGGGAAGTGCTTCCGGGGAGAGCCTGAGTTACGGAGACTCATGGCGACCTCCAGGGACGAAGGGGTTCTGAGGTGGGCCTGGACCGCTTGGAGGGACGGGATGAGCCCTCTGAAGTCACTGTTCATGCAATTTATCGCACTGGAAAATTCGGGAGCGAGGAGAAACGGTGAAAATAATAATTGTTGACGATTCCACCTTTTCCCTGATTGTGATTGATGATGATTACACCACAAAAAATTACTTCTCACCAGTACAAACCGGTACTTGGGGGAAGTTCACTTTTAAAAAGTTCTAAAAATACTCGTCCCAAGTACATTTTGTGTCCTTGCGTGAAGTACCACATTTGCCGATCGAGTACAAATACTACTGGGAGGAAGTAGCTTCACTATTTTCTGCCAGTACTGTTTGTACTTTTCACAAGTGCCAAAAGTACTGGTGAAAAGTAATTTTTCAACTTCTCTCAAATACTTTTAGGACTTAATTTCAGTACTTCCAATTGATTACTTCATTAAAAAAAAGTGAATATTATTACCGGATAGAATGGGCTTTCTTACGCATTTTTATTAAATAGAAATGTTCAGCAGAAGATATTTTGTAGAAAAAAATCAATAGATTCCGATTTTTATGGATGATTTCGGGAATTATCGGTATGCTTTACAACCTACAAAATTTCAATTTTATTCAGATTTTTATGTTTTATGTTGTTATCAACATTTAAAAGGCTTCGAAAAATTATTTTCAATTTCTTTTCAATTTTATTACTCACAAAACGGGAATTATTTGGATTTTTAATTTTTGACGAAATTCGGTTTTTAGAAGAGGTAGAAAAACCTTTTTGAGTTCTTATACTCAACTTATACTGAGTTTATTTGGTACTTTTGAAAAGAACCAGCTAGGTACTCAGTAATAGTTACTTGGGACAAGTAACAAAATACTTGTGACGAGTACTGAGGTACTTCTCACCAGTACACAGGTCCTTGACGCATGATACTTACATCAAGTTTTTTTGTAACTTAGAGAAAGTACGAAAATGTGCCTTTTCCCCAGAAACCCCTTGGTACTGGGTACAAGTACTTTTTCTACTGATCAAAAGTAATTTTTTTGGGTGTAGTGATTGAGATCCGATCAATTAGCCCCTCATGTATAGATATTCCAAATTTTTATTTTTTCCCTCATTGAAGTAGTTTTGAAGAAAATTGCGAGCTAATAAAAAACATTTGCTAGTTAGTACTTTTTTTAAAATAAATTTTTGGAAAATCACCTCTGAAAAAAAAGGCGTTATCCCCTCTATTTCATTATTTCCAAAAAATTTGATCACCAATCGATAGCAAATTGTTTGAAGATTTTTGCGAGTTAAGAAAAAATCGTCAATGCAATCCTATTATTGTGTAAATTAACAATTTCAATTTCAACTGAAAACCAGAGTTGATGACGAGAGTTTACAACAGAGATGTCAGATAAGATATGAATGTTTTTTTTGGCTCAAATGAAAGAGCGGCTCAAGAAATGGCGTGCAGAAGTCTTTAAAGATGACAAATGTCTCAAAAGATGATGTCTGTGTTCAATTGAAAAGCGCAATTGTGACAACATTGTCCAGTGGGGTCTAGGAGTCTCCCCTGGTTCAAAACCATCTTTAGAGGTCCTAGCACGCCATTTCTCGACCCGCTCTTTCATTTGAGCCCAAAAAAACATTCATATCTTGTCTGACATCGCTGCTACAAACTCGGGTCTACAACTCGGGCCTTCAATTGAAAACCCGAGTTGAAGACCCGAGTTTGTAGCAAAGATGTCAGACAAGATATGAATGTTTTTTTGAGCTCAAACGAAAGAGCGGGTCGAGAAATGGCGTGCTAGGACCTCTAAAGATGGTGTTGAACCAGGGGAGACTCCTAGAACCCACTGGACAATGTTGTCACAATTGCGCTTTTCAATTGAAAACAGACATCATCTTTAGAGAGATTTGTCATCTTTAAAGACTTCTGCACGCCATTTTTCGACCCGCTCTTTCATTTGAGCCAAAAAAAACATTCATATCTTGTCTGACATCTCTGCTACAAACTCTGGTCATCAACTCTGGTTTTCAGTTGAAATTGGAATTGTTAATTTACACAATAATAGGAGTGCATTGACGATTTTTTCTTAACTCGCAAAAATCTTCAAACAATTTGCTACCGATTGGTGATAAAATTTTTTGGAAATAATGCAATAGGGGGGATAACGCCTTTTTTTTCAGGGGTAATTTTTCAAAAATTTATTTTAAAAAAAGTACTAACTAGCAAATGTTTTTTATTAGCTCGCAATTTTCTTCAAAACTACTTCAATGAGGAAAAAAATAAAAATTTGGAATATCTATACATGAGGGGCTAATTGCTCGGATCTAGTGATTGGGTCGAATCGAATTGTGATTTTTGTGCGTGTTTTACAGGCTACAGGGACGTTGGCGACATCTGGAGAGAAGAAATGGGAATAGCGAATGTGGAAGTAGTGATGGAGACGCTGTGGTCAGACGTCGAGGAACTGTATCAACTTCTGCACGCGGTTGTCAGATTTCGACTGCGGGGAGGGTATCCCGGAGTCGTCGATCCACTCTCACCCATCCCTGCGCATTTGTTAGGTCTCTCCGATGATGAACAAACTTTTTAATTTTTCTTCAGTTAATGTAAGGGAGACTGGGGCAAAATGAGACTGCCGTAAAATTTGAGATTTTACACGAATGATTGATTTTTCTCCAGTTACTAATGAAATACTCCATTGTTAGAAGGTTTAAAGTATTATTGGGCATCAATTTTCCAAATTTTTTCTGCACGGATTCTGTAATGCAAAACAAAACCAAATTCAGTGAAAAAAACTTAGAAAATTTGTGCCCAATAATTCTAATAGACAAAATCTAAGAGAAAAAATCAAACAGAAAATCTAAATCTATTGACTTTTTCTTATTGAATATCCAATAGAATCAGCGCAAAAAACAAATAGAATTTTCTAACGAATTCGCTAGGTTTTCCATTGAATTTTTTCATGGGTGTTCCTCCTTTATCCTTCAATCTCCAACCTTGATTTGAAATAAATTTCCAACATTTCACCCACGCTTCAGGTGACCTGTGGGGCCAAAACTGGGGAGCTCTACTCGACGTCCTCCTCCCCGAAAAATCAGTAACATTAAATATAACAGAGTCACTGAGGAACAAAAACTACAGCGTCCTGGATATGGTGAAGCGATCCGAGGATTTCTACGTGTCTCTGGGATTCCCTCGATTGCCGAAACAGTTCTGGAAACATTCGATTTTTACTCGAGGAGATCACGGTGAAAATTGCCATGGATTTGCCGCGAATATGAACAAGAATGGCGATTTTAGGATTATGGGGTGTTTCGAGGTCACGGAAGAGGACTTTCGAACTATTCATCATGAAATGGGGCATGTCTATTATTACATGGCCTACGAGGGTCAAGACGCCATCTTCAGGGTAATTGAACACGCACAAAAAATTTCGTAAAAAATCTTCGCGCTTTTTTCAATTAATGCTCGGGTCCAGAATAACATTCGAAAGATAGTACACCTGGGCCTTAATTCCAATGATTTTGTTTTCTCAATTTCATCTCCATTTTTTTCTACGTTTTTTAAAGAGACAAATCCAATAAAAAAATGATTGTCTGTTGATTTTTTTTTAATGAGAAATAACTCCAGAAACGGGCAACTGATTGATTGTTTACAGTCTGGAGTGAATTCGGCATTCCACGAAAGTATCGGAGAAGCCGTTCTCCTGGGGGTGATGACGCCCCAGCATCTCCAGCGAATTGGACTTGCTGGAGACGCCATATTGACCCACAACCTTGCAATATTATTGAAAGAGGCTCTGATTAAACTTCCACTGATAGCTTCTGCATTGATAGTGGAAAAATGGAGATTCAGAATTTTCGAGGGCAATGTAGAGTCAACGGAGCTGAATGATTTCTGGTGGGAGCTCCACAGGGATATCATGGGAATTGCTCCGGTTAATCCCAGACCTGATCATCTCTTCTTCGATCCACCTGCGAAGTTTCATATTATCGCAAATATCCCATACTTGAGGTAAACAAATGATTTTTCAAATAAGTTTAAATAAAATATTTAAAAATAAATATTAATAAATTTAAATCTGGAATAAGTAAATTGTTGATATTTGATATTATTTATCAATTATTAAAATATTGAATTAATCATCAATTAAATATTCAAATTCCGAATTATTTTATTAATCAATAATTGCGTTCGGAAGATCGACGATTGTGTGGCTAATCGAAAATCCTTTTATGAAATTCAGAAATATTTACTCAATAATTGATTGACAGTGCCATATTGTCAATTTTTTAATTCATAGTGGAAAATTCAGATCATCAGTTATTTTATTATTTTTAAAATTTCAATGAAGATAAGGGAACCTTACGCGGAGACTACTATGAGTTTTAAAAATCGTGGGATATTGGAGTGAGATTTATCATGCATTGAAGATCGATTATATCTGTCTAAAAATGAATAATTATTGCAAAAAAATCAATTGTTTATTGTTCGTTTGCTCCGCAGACGCTTAAAATGTTAAAAGTAACCTCCAATTTTTGAGCTACAGAGGTTTTTGTTTTTCAAAATTTTTGAAAAAATTTGTACAATAACAATTACGCACTCCTACACAGCTAATTTCGATTTGTTAATATAAAAATTTACACCATTCATGTAAAATGAGCAGAAAAATTATTCTTAAAATATTAGAAATATATTCTCGATTCTTTCAGAAATACTTTTCGGGCTACTGTTCATAAATGGTACAATGTTTTATTAAAATAATAACGAAATTAGCTGTGTAGGAGTTGAATTGAAATCGCCCGCGACATTTAAAACTCCTAGTAGTCTCCCCTTAATTATTTTAAAGTGCAACTTCTCTTCGTATAATAGCAATATAACTGATCCCAATCTCTAATCTCCAGGTATTTCTTCGCAAGTTTTCTGCAATTCCAGATATTCGACTCGATGTGCCAATCAGCGGTTACAGGAAAAATAAATAATGTAAATTTCACTTTTCCACTCCATAAGTGTGACATTTACGGATCGAAGGATTCTACAAAAAATTTGAGGTAAAAAATACCAATTGAGTGGAGACAAAAATAGATATATCCTCAATCCCCAAAAATTGATACCAAAGGGGGAAAAATGAGCCTTATTTTTGGCAAATATATTGAAAAACGTATATTTCATCATCAACCATTAATTTCACTCTGCAATGTACAAAATTCGTTGAAAAAATCACATGTATTCAGCTTCATTATTCACAAATCGTGGAAGAATAATATCCAATGAAATCGCAACAAATAAAATCATGTTTTAATCATTAAAAAAATTCTCCCTTTCTCCTCAGGAGCGTGATGAAGATGGGCAGTAGTGTAGACCTCTCCAGTGCATTACAACAATTGTCAAGAGTACCGAAACTACGTGTAGAGCCTCTCACGAGGTATTTCAAACCAGTCTATGATTTCTTGAGGAAGGAGATCGACAATTTTAATATCCCAGTTGGATGGAGCTGAAATCACTCGCCATTTTGTGTCCCAAGACCGTTGTTCGTGAATATATCAAATTCATCTCTACTGGCTACGGCAGCTCGTACGTCTTCTAAACTTATTTTCTCTGGGCAGCTGAAAAAAATTGAGCATTCAACAATTTTCGTTCAACACCAAAATTATTTATTAAAAAAATGGGGCGAAAAAATCTGAATAAATTTTTGTGGTTGATGATTGGAGTGAATAGGTCAATGAAAACTGTACGGATTATTATCATTATAAATAATAACACTTATGTACAATCATGTGATTGAAGTTTTTTTTTTGAAATATCACCATTACAGCGAGAAAAAAAACACTCGGGAGGTACCTTGTTGGGTGGCGTGGCGCTACAATTTGCTAAGCATCAGTGACAAAATGTCTTGGAGAAAAAGAAGAAGTCTTCTTCCGAAAGAGTCAAATGTGGAAAATAGCACAATATTTTCAGAAGGTGAATCATATCCCGAAGATTAAGAATCTATTTGGCCTTGTATTTCTTCACATTCAATAAAAAAAAATTCTAAATTCCTCCAGACCGTTGGCCATCCCCCGTCCATCTATTGGCTCTAGCGTCTAGTTATTGGGAATTTGGACGATATTCCACTTTTCCCTCAATTCATTATTCTTCTCTTCATTTTTTCCACTTCAAATTATTGTTTTTTCCTAAATCATATATTCTTTCAGGTCTACAACTCTTTTTTTTTATTCACTCAGCTACTCCACTGATTTTAAATCCTTAAATGAAGTTCAACATTCTCTTAATCGTCCAGCTATTGGCCTGTTTAACCTACTCACCTTCGATTCCCAGTTCTCTCGAAGGATTGCGCCAGCGAAGACCTCAGCAGATCTTCCATCAAGCACTCAACAGCCTAAAACAACAATTTTTTTAGTCCCCCTCACGGTCAAATAAAACCATAACAACCTAACCTTAGCCAGCACTCGTCCAGCAGCATCGTGCATCACCCCCTCCACCACCTCCTCCCCCTCCAGCTTCACACCGATCTGCCTAACACTCCCGCAGACATACGAATAAATCGGCTCGGCTGATTTCGGCACCTCCATCGTCACTCCCCTCCCCACCTCTTCCTGGCCACCTCCCCTCCTTGCCTTCTCCTCCGCCAAACCTACCACATCCACCTCCTTCTCATCCTCGATCACCTCCTCCCCCCCCTGCCGCAGCCACTCGATGAGCTCGACCGGCTCCGTACAACTGTTGAATTCCTCCCCTCCATCCCCCACATCCACCGTTATCTCCGATTTTCCCCCTCTCCCACTCCTGACAGGAGTGAATCCATGCAGTCGACACCACAGCATAATCTCCTTAATCGTCCATATTTCCCCCTCCCCCAGCCCCCTTTTCCTCAATAGCCCACAGATTTCCTTGGCCCTGTACCACTCCAGCGCCCTCTGCTTTCCAAGATTGAATCCTAGGAATTCCTCATCACTTCCGCAAACGTAAGGATGAAGCCTTCGGTACTCAGGATCCCCCGAGTGAGGCGACACTATCGGAATTCTTTTGATTATGAACCTCATGACGCCCTCTACATCGCCGGGAATTCTAACCTCCTCGAGGCTCTTGAGAATTCCATCGTAGAATTCCTTCCTACTTCCTAACTTCGTTTTGTCCTTGCCAATCGTCACTTTTGCTCTTGGGAATTTTCCGTTTGGCTTGTCGCGATGCTCCGGTAGCTTCAACTTGGAATCCGCGATTTTCAAGACAGGAATGTTCGCGGAGGAATTCAGGATTATGCTCTTTGAGGGATCGAGGATCAGGCTCACGGCGGCTCGCGGTTTCTTCAACAGACTGACGGCTTTTTTAGTTGCGTTCATGTCTAGCTTGATGACTCTATCGTTATTGTCTTTTAGGACAATTATTTTCGGGGGTAGCGGCTTATCAGACGCTTTTTTCAGATTGAGCGACTCGAAGTGGGAGGGAATTGTGATTTTTAAAGGCTGCAGCACTGACGATCCGTTTTCAAAGATTTTCGGCCGAATTTTAATCTCTGAGTTTAGGACGGAATTATTCTTCCTAGGTGATTCGCCATTTTGAATTATTGTCGGGGAATTTTGGGCCTCCGATGATTCCAACGAATCACTGGAAATCCCGTTGTGATGATTTTGGCGATTGACTTCGACCCCTTTCTCAGGAGAATGAGCAATGGTCACATTGTCCTCCTCAGGCCTTTCGAAACTCGCGTAATCGTGTTCAAAATGGACGTGAGAGAGTACCCTGACCTCATCCTCATCAGGTTTTTCCTCCTTAATCCTGAGTGAGTCCTCAGGGGTCCCCGAAGAAAGCTCCCAACAGTCCTCCTGTTTTACACCGCTCAGAGGCGGCCATTTTGTCACTTGCTCAGAAGCCCCCATTTTGTTGTCGGAAACCTCACAAGCCAGAGTATTGATCCAGATATCGACAACGGTCTCAGATCCGAGGGTCTGCAGGCCCGTGTACGTTCTATCCAACTTCAGATGATGGATTATGTCCATCGGCTTGTTATTTTGATTCTTAAAATGGAGTTGCACTCTCAGTGGGAATTCCCCCCACCCTCTCCGGCACAGGTGGAAGGGAGGGGAGGTGACGTCGACTACGTCGTTGGGACGATAGCTTGGGTGGAGGAAAAATCGAACTTTCGATACAACTTCTGATATATCGGATTCCTCTTTCGAGGCTCTGACGTACATCGTCCATTTGTGAGACGCCGCATCCTCCCGCCAGTCTGGGGGAATCCATTTTGAGATATTTCCGACAACTATTCGCCGGCGGATCTTATGGCGGACACCTCGGGAGGGGATTTTCGGGTCTGGCTGGGAGGTCTTCGGCGGAACGTATCTGGGGATCTTTTTGGGGGGCTCTGGGGAAGGGTCAGTCTTGTCGTAAGATCTTTTCGAGGGTTTGGGCAGGTCTTGGTGGTCAGGGGGAGGGTGAGAGGAGTCGTTCAAGGGATCGCTTGAGGATTCCAGGTCTGAGGGGAGCTTGAGGAGGGTGCAGGGGGGCGGCGAGGGATGGAAAGTCGATGGGCTCTGGGACTTCGGAGATTTTCCGGTGGCGGAGCGCACTGCTGGGTGCAGTCTGACTTGTTTGACTTCTGGTGGGGGGTTTGAGAGGCATTGTTTACGATTGTAGAAGTCCGAAATTATGACGTAACGGAGGAAGTGGAGGGTTTTTAGGGCCTTGTCGAGTTTTTCTTGAATTTCGAGGATTTCCTTTTCTTTCGCGTCGATTTCGAGAGAGAATTCACGGTCGATTATCGAAGTGATTTTGAGGGAGGTGTTTGTGCGGGCTGTAAGAGCAGAATGGATTGATATAATTTTTTTCTTGGGGACTCTTTGAGGGGAGGGGCTGGGGAAAGAATTGAAAATACAAAACAAATATGTTTAGGGGTGAATCCACGTGAGACAATATTTTTTGAAGAATATATGACATTGGCCCATGTAATTCATATTTTTATAAAATTTTCAAATTTTATTTTCCTTATTTACTTATAAGCAGATGTCAATAACTGCAATTTTTCCGAAGTTTAATTTGAATGTTTTGAATGAATTGTGGTGCTTATTCAGGAAATTTTCAAAATTTTTCTCGTGCAATTTAATATGCTAATTTGATGATTGGAAATGTTGGAAGGCTGTTTTTGTTGGGAATTTTGAAAAAACGATTTTCGACATTTTCCCCAAAAATATAACGTTGATGGCTGGATATTTTCTAATTTCGAGTTTTATCAAGCAGAATTCACGGTCGATTATCGAAGTGATTTTGTGGGAGGTTTGTGCGGGCCGTAAGAGCAGAATGAATTGATATAATTTTTTTCTTGGGGATTCTTTGAGGGGAAGGGCTTGGGAAAGAATTGAAAAGAGAAAAGAGTTGAATATTAATTGGCAAATCCCATGAAACAAATATGTTTAAGGGTGACTCAACATGAGCAGATGTCAATAACTGCAATTTTTGTGGAGTTTAATTTGAATGAATTGTGGTGCTCATCCAGGAAATTTTCAAAAATGTTCTCATGCAATTTAATGTTCTAATTTGATGATTCAGAGACTCAATATTAAAAGATTCAATGTTAGGAGACTGTTTTTGCTTGGGAATATTGAAAAAAACTGGCTCTCGACATTTTCCTCAAAAATATAAAGTTGATGGCTGAATATTTTCTAATTCAATTGAGCATCAGATGTTTAAAATGGATGTCGAATTGAGGGGATATATCGGTGAAATTTAAAAGTCTTCACTGGGTCTTGGGACCCATTGAACAGTTGACGATATATGACTAAATATGAAAATAATTAGGGAAAATCACGGACTTGATCAATTTTGGCCCGTATAACCACAAAAAACATCATTTTTTGCTGTTTTTACCTTCGAAATGCTGCTTGCGACGTAGTTTTCACACAATTTTAGCTTTTTTTAAAATGTTCTTTACACTCTAAACAATAAACTTAAACAGCCGTTTTACTTTATTCGCAATAGATCATGAATAAATTAATTTTGAATTTGATAAATCCTCTTTTAAACCCGCCTTTTCGCTTCAACCTACCATTTTTTTGTTCATAAAAATTAGATTACGCATGATTCCAAAGTTCAGTTACTAAAAACAATGAATTTTTAGTCCTACTTTAGAGACGCGAAAAATTTATGAAATTCAAAATTCATTTATTCATTATCTATTGCGAATAAAGTAAAACGGGTGCTCAACTTTTTTCTTTGGATTGTAACGCACATTAAAAAAAAAGTTAAAATCGTCTGAAAGTTACGGCGCAAGAAGCATTTTGAAGTTAAAAAAAGGAAAAAATTCATTTTTTCGTGGTTATACGGATCAAAATCGATCGGGTCCGTGATTTTCCCTAATTATTCCCATATTCCGCCATGTATCACAAACTGGTCAATGGTTTCCAAGAACCAGTGACGACTTTTAAATGTCAGCGACCTATCCCCTTAAATTTCATTTTGGAATTGGAAAAAATACCTTGAAAGCCAATTTTACTTTACTTTCCTCTAAAAATAAAATCTCAAGTCCTTTTCTCCCTTCAGATTCTATTTTCTCTAAAAAATTGAATTAGTGAATTTAAAAATATCTTTTTAAATTCACTAATTCCGTAATTATCTCACCTGTCTCTTCATAAATCTTCTGTTGATAACTAGTGCTTGGTCCAGGCGCTGCATAATCCGGATCCTGATCCTCAAAATTTCCGGAATTATTCATCTCATTAATAAATAAAATATTTTTCCTGGGAAAAAAAATTGAAAATAAACATTGAAAAAATGGGACTCTTCATTTAAGGTTAAGACACATGCAGATTGTTTTTCCTGTCGAAAATTCTCCTGATGTCGATGAAAATACTCACCAGAAGCTCTGGAATTCGTAATTAAATGCCTCGTTACTCTCCAGATGAATGTTCAATATTTATTTCTAACAATTACACTTGAAAAAAAACACTGATATGACAATGCAGGGGACGTAAGGTTATCTATCCCTCGAATTGACATTTGTTTTCATAATCCTCGAGGAATTGCTTTTTACACTCAATGAATTGTCAGGGATAATTGTTTGTGACGGTGGTTTGCCTTTTATTCTCACGGAAGTCACAGGAATATCATGGAGAGTGGAGAAAACTGAACAGAATATTGTGGCCGGTGCCATCACTTTTACACCCGTGGACGCTATTCAGTGCTATTCTGCTATTCAGTCTCAAAAACACTGGAAACCTTGAAGAAACTAGTTCTGGTGATTTTCACTAGATCTAGGGATACTAAGGTTTTGCGTCGCGGGGGGGAGGGGGGTGTTTTTACAATTCAGATGGACACATTCCGTTTTGAATAGGGATGGGCGATGTTTTAAAAAACATTGATTATCGAAGAATTGATGTTTTTCAAAAACGTCGTTGTGAAATCATTTTTCAGGAAAAATGGTCGATTATTTTTAAAAATCTGTTTTTGCCGTTATACAGGAGAAAAAACAAAGTTTTTTAAATAATTTTTTTTCTTCTCGTTTTTATTGAAAAATATATATTTAAAAAATACAACCCGAGGATATTACATTTCAATGATAAGTACTGCTGGAGAGTTAAGGATAATCGGGCGAACCCGGAGTGTTAGCAAAAAAGCAGCCATTTTTTAATTTTTTTTTTTCGCATGGATTAATATTTTTTCATTTATTAAAAAAAACAATCTGAAAACCACTCAATGCGTGGAACAGATACAAATAAATTTGATTCGCTCCAAAAATAATTTTTAACCGGAGATACTCCCTAATATTGCCTGAATTTTAAATCCGAATGGGAAAAATTTTTTTCTTCAGCGATTGGTTTTCTGCAGGAAAACAATAGAAACCCCTCCGCCTCACCTCCTACATTTCCACCGCTCCCGATTATCCTTAAATTTTGAATCTCAAAACAAGGTTTTTAATTAATTTAAAAAAATATATTGAATATTTTCTATCAGCTGCATTGTTAAAAATTTAAATTGAAAAACAAATTGAAAAATTGAAATTAAAAAAGACAATAGATGATTGGACTTGTTCATTTATTATTTATGACATACATACTGTAGAATATAATTACTTCTGGTTGGGCATAAATTACTATTTCCTTTATTCTCGATCAATCAACATTATTCTTCGACAAAAAAATGAAAAATTTTGGTAGTTGGTCAGAAACATCGATGTTTGGGCATGAAAAATCGATGTTTTGATTAATCGACAAATATCGTCCATCCCTAGCGAGGGGTCCTTCCAGTATACCTGTAGTTCGATGGTTCGAACCCACCAGATTACCATTTATGAGTTTTCCGATGGTTCCCTATAATTTATAATAATAGTTTCCTATAATGTTCAATTTATTTTACTTGAAAAACAAACAAAGCAGCCGGAGTGGAACTGTCGAGGCTTCGCCTCGGCAACTCCTTTTTACCGACGATCGACCGTGGCGGCATCCCCACCCATGGTGTGAACTCAGTTCAGCTTGGGGTCGTCCAAACCCCGAGAACTGAGCCTCTCTACTTTAGTCTATCCTCTTCGGTGCAGATGGCATTTGTGAGGTTTTTACGAAGTGAAATCGTGACTCTCCGGGTTTTCGAATCAACGGAGAATATGGAATCCATACGCATGTGTTTATTAGTGTTTATTAGTGTTATTTTTTCAGAGGACTAGTGCAATTATCTGAAGGTGATGGTTTCAATACGAAGAGATTGGAAATTTTTGAGTGAGTGGAGAAATTAGTTTTTTTATTTTTTTAATAATGTGAAATGATGATTGACATTTGTTCGATTGATTTATTCATTCATTGGGTCTTCTTGTAATTCGATACACCATTGGAATACGTTTTGACATCTTTTCTCGGGCATATAGCTTTCCAGAAGAAGGTGATAAACATTTTGATGATGTAGAGAGTTAGGAGAAGAGACGACAGGATGAATCCGTAAACGTCCAGCAAGTAAAACTGCCACCAAGTGAGTTCGGTGGCCGGCGACTTCAATACTGTTCCGTGTTTCGCAGTATATTCGACCCAATATACAGCGGTGTCGATGGCATTCATTGGTCGGTCGAAAAATAGTTTAGACATTTTTTCAATATTATTCCTGAAATGAAGAACAATTATCAGAGAATGGGGGATGGGATGAAGAGGGCAGGGGTAAGGGTTCAATCGGATACCTATAAATTGGATCATTAAGAACAGTCTTGACAGCATTCGTTAATGAGTCGGCAGTTATATCATACAGATTCAGTGCAATGGCAATTTTCTTGTTCGCATAGCTTTGGATATTTGTGTGTTGATCCCCGAAGAGAGGAAGCCCAACCATTGGAACTTTATATGCAATAGCTTCTTGAGTTCCCATCAATCCTCCATGAGTGATGAATAATTTCACATTTTTGTGTTCTGCGGGAAAATAAAGTT